TTTTGTGCTGGTTGCATTGTGTGGATCACATTGTGGAGTTTTGTGTTGCTGTTGCTACTATTTGCCTTGATGCTAAGTACCAAGGGAGGTATCATCGGCAACTCGGATCTTCATGCTCTCACTTCAGAGATCGCTACGGTCGCAGCAGCAGCAGGTGTGGACACCTCCGAGGCAAATACGACAGCAATCGTACTTCCCCAGACACTACAAGCAAGTCAAGATAAGCAGAAGGCTTATGCTGTAGCAGCTTACGTTGTATACGCATTGGCTGGCGTCGCATTGTTGCTTGTTTGTTTCTTTCAGAAGAAAATTCGCATTGCTGTTGGTATCGTGAAGGAGGCTTCGCGTGCCATGCAGAGTCTACCACTGCTGGTGTTATTCCCGATTATTCCATTCGTAATGCTGCTGATATTGTTCGCATATGCGGCTATCGTCGGGGCGTACATTTACAGCTCAGGAGAGATGCAGTTAGCTTCACTGGCAGGAGAACTTGCGGACCAGGCTGGACAGAACATAACCACAGAAGCGACTACGACTTTAAACAAGGTGAACCCCGACCAAACAATGAAATTACTGGTAGCATACCACTTCTTCGGCTTCTTGTGGACAGCTCAGCTCATTAATGCAATAAGTATGTGCACAATAGCTGGTGCTGTGAGTCGCTACTATTGGAGTCGCAACAAGTCCAGCGAGGAAATGGGACGTTTCCCTGTGCTTACATCGTTCAAGAACTGCTTCCGTTACCACTTTGGGTCACTCGCGTTCGGGTCTTTCATTATTGCAGTGGTGCAATTTATCCGAGCGGCACTGCTGTATCTGGATCACCAGACGAAAGATCTCCAGCAATCCAATCTGGTTCTTAAGGTGGTTATGAAGATTGTGCAGTGTTGTTTGTGGTGTCTGGAAAAGTGCCTGCGCTTTTTATCCAAAAACGCTTACATCCTCATCGCCATGAAGGGCCACAGCTTCTGTGTGTCAGCCAAGGATGCGTTCAAGATCTTACTGACCAACATTGCACAGGTCGGTGCCGTATCGACCGTGACGTTTTTACTATTAGGTGCTGGCAAGTTGGCTGTCGCACTGAGCTGTGCCATCGCAACTTTCGCCTACTTAGAAAAGAACACCGACGACTATGGCGTCGGCGGAGATCACGAGCTATCATCTCCCTTAGCTTCGATCCTGGTGGCACTACTGCTTGGCTGGTTCGTTGCTTCGACCCTTCTTGGCGTCTACGAGATGGCTATCGATACTATTCTGATGTGCTTCTGTGAGGACAAGGAGCTCAATAAGGAGTCGGCTCAATATTTTATGAGCGATTCGCTAAAGAAGTTCGTTGCCAAAGTTGCTCAGACAGAATCGCCAATCGCCAAAATTCAGGTCGATGAACGCTAGTGTGTCGGGCGCTGCGGGAATATCCAGAATTTTACATGACACGCCTACAAATAGTAAGCAATAACGGTAAATCATACACTATTGTATTGGGTCCTTTTCACGGCGGAGATCGGTTTGAAAACTAAGGCATGATACATTGAAATATCACACCGATGGTTCCAGCCGAACCTACCACATTAATAACCGACGGCTTCTAACATGTCGTGTTAGAGACTTTGCATTTTTTCTGAATAGGAACGACTTTCGCGTTAGGCATCCGTGTTACGAATGTTTGTCGCAAATGAATTTTGTATGCGAATACGATCAAAAGTTGTGTGTGCTTCACATACACCTTTTAAATGGCAAATTCGAAGTTGCAAAATGTGGCCTGGGGAAACTCTGGATTAAAATCCAGAGAATTACCAAGAGGGATCTCTAATGTAATCGAGAAAAAAGGAGGCGGAGCATCTGAGAATCGATCAAAAGCGATTAGAGAATACAGTAAATGCTGTCACTTCCGGTACTGTGCTGTCGTTAATGCTACAAAGTACAGCAACCGCTGAGGTTTCAGCTCAGCGGTACCAGCATTTGCTTTAGTACAAGTGCAACACGTTGAAGTTTACAACGGACGACACTTCAGCTGGTTGCAGAACGGACGACCTTTCAGTAGTCATGCATATTGCTAGCACTTAAGATAAACAAGGTATCTTCTAAATTTTGTTTGAAGGCGACAAACACAAAGTATTCCTTAGCTGGGAGTCGCCCCAGCATGGAGAAGCCCGACGAAACGATGGTGCATCAGCTGGAGAGGCAGATATACCAATTGCCGCGTATCCCCCCCCCCGTACACGGATCAAGAGCTGATGCTAGCTCAAGAGACGATGACGCGCACTGTCGCGATCCAAGGCAGCGAGACCAGTCGCCAGGTCGAAGCGATGGCTCAGCCATTTGCAGCTGTACAGCAGATGACGGCTGCCCAACTCGACCACGTGCAGCACCAGCAAGAGCAGCTGGCCGCAAAGACGTCGGAATATCTGCAGGCACAACACGACCGTCAGTCTGCACTGCTACAGACAACGACGGTGAAATCCGCCACCCTCTGAACGCCATCCTCCATGGTAGTTATTTTTTTGTTTTCGCGACAGTAAAATCCGTCGCACATTTTTATTGGTAGATAAAACGAATTAATTAGCAAAAAGCAAAGTTGAGTCTAGTGGCTGGCAGACCGCTGTACTGTTGGGCGGCAAACCAGGGCCGACGTTGTCTCGACAACAACATCAAGTCCTTCTTTTGAAACATGTGCGTCGAAGTTATCGAGTATAAGCACTGATAGTGCCTCGATCTCGAGCTTGAGCAGCTCTCGTACATATATCGCCCACACTTTGGCATCCATAAAACTGCTCTCCTGCACTGAGTATACAAGACCAACCGGATGTGTTGGTAGCTCCACGACTATCACACTATTTAATAAAGCAATTATATAAAATCAGCAAAATCAAAAGATATTACCGTGCTGCAAACCGCTAATCCATGACTATCACACTATTTAATAAAGCATTTATATAAAATACTTAGACCCTTCTCATCGCTTTCCTTACCAGCAAGATTCGCTTGAAGCCATCGCGTTTGCTGCTCTTTGAAATATTGAATCATTAAACCTGTACAAATACTAAGCAACAAGCGGTTTTAGGTCACAATGTAAAAATAAAATAATAAGAAGACGGTTTACCCATTCTTCCCGTCGCACATCCTTCATAAAGGTTACCAAATCGTGAGAGAGTGTATTAACGGCGCTGCACCCTGGCCCTTCAAGGTTTAGCTGGTTTGGGCACCCGCAAAGTCTTGGATGTTCTCTTTATCGTCTAGCCAGTCGCGAAGTCGTGCGAGGGATATTTAGTTTCTCTGATGCGGCTTGGCAGCTTCCTAACGTCTCACCAGTCGCGATTGCTTCGCGCTTGGTTAGAATTATATAGGAGCGCTGAGGCGCCATTTCCAGAAATAGAAATT